ATCCAACCTAATACAATTCAAAAATCAGATAATGCATAAGATACATCACAGCTGGGAAGCAATGCAAAGCAAAGTAAAACCTAAAGCCAAGATACAAAACCTCACATTTAAGGATGTACAGCTTCATTGTGTCAATTCCAGATGTCACGAAAACAATGTTAAGACACCATTATACATTAACTCTTTTCTCTCTCTTGGATTTTCAAAAAGCTGTGAACTTAAATTTCCTGTCTTAATGAGCAGCAAACTAAAGAGTAGTGGGTGTGGTTTTGAACATACCATTAATGAATAACTTTCAAAAGTGTGCACATGATGCAGTACCTGACTTGCATGTATGTCATATGCTCTTATGAAAGTCCAATGTGCTTTTAACCATGAACGTTCTAGGTTCAACACCTAAAAGTTATTTCTAAAGAAAATAATATTCTTATCAGTCTTTGGACATGACTGTTAATATTTAATAAGTCTGAAACTGCATGCTCATTTTGTTTGACACTATTCAAAATGTGAGCTTTGAAGATATAAACTTAGCTAGACTAACTGAAATTGAAGTGTATATATTATTTATATATTTTTCATTATAAATACTAGGAGTCCTAGAGGGGCTTGTCACATTTGTAATCAGTGTTACAGCATGTGTTTTGCATGATCCTGTGTTTCCTTGTTATTTACAGTTAAAGAATATTTGATGTCAAGCAAGTCTGGGAGAGAACCTTTCATGAAACCTAGAATGGTTATTGCTAGGATTCATAGAACAGGCCCAAGTGGATTGGTTGGGCCTACCTACCTACCTATAGCAAAAAAGTGAGACCCAGGCCACACAGCCAGAAGAATGATGTGGTAAAATCCAGCCCTGGTAGAGTGGATTGTATTCTTTCTTTTGAATGCTACCTCATGTAGAAAGAACTCCCTGCAAAGAAACAACCCAAGAAAACAATTCAAATCTGCCATGTTTGTGGTCGGTTTGAAGAAAGCTGTAGGACAAAATTTAAAATGTGAAGTGTTGGCTAAGGAAATATGTGTTTAGCACACAGCTATGTCTCCATAGCTACATTTTCCAATGCTACCCCCAATAAATGTTTCACACACCTTTGATATGGGCACTTCCATGTCGTTGGAAATCAGGGGGATTAGTGGAGATGTGTTCACCTATTTTCCTGTAGCTGGACACTCTGTAGAAGTCATTTGCAGGGACCTTCTGAAGGTCCTCAGCAGTTGATATTCCTCTAGGCGGCTTCTGATACTATGGATGATGGTATCCTTCTGAGGTGCCTCTCTGAGATGGGACTTGGAGGTACTGTTATGCAGTGGTTCTGGTCTTTCTTGAAGGGACAGAAGGTGGTGTTGGAAGACTCCTGTTCAACAGAGTTCTGTTTTGCTTCCTATGTTATTTAACATCTACATGAAACCAATGGAAGAGGTCATCCACAGTTTTGGATGCGGTGCCATCAATATGTGTATGACAACCAACTCTATCTCTCTTTTCTGTCCAATTGCAAGGACGCAGTCTCAGTACTGAACCAGTGTCTGTTGTCAGTAATGGACTGGATGAGGACAAATAAACTGAAACTTAATCTAGACAAGACAAAGGTGCTCCTGGTCAGTTGTACAGCAGATCAGGGAACAGGGACTTTGCCTGTGCTGGATGTGGTTATACTGCCCCTGAAATCTCAGGCTTGCAACTTGGGTGTTCTCCTGGACTCAACCCTGATCCTGGATGACCAGGTTTCAGCAGTGGCCAGGAGCTTATTTGCACAACTAAAACAAGTGCACCAGCTGTGCCCCTTCCTTGAGAAGTCAGATCTGGCTACAGTGACACATGCCTTGATTACATCCTGTTTTGACTACTTTAATGCTGCCTTTGGTAACTGTTCGGAAACTTCAGCAGGTTCAAAATGTGATGGCCAGAATGCTGACTGGAACCAGAATTCTGACTGGGATATAAGGAGCATATAATTTCCTTGTCGAAATAGCTTCACTGGTTGATTCATTTCTCGGCACAATTCAAAGTGCTTGTCCTATAAAGTCCTGTATGGCTTAGGTCCATCTCTCCATATGAACACGCAAGAGGCCTAAGATCTACAGGGGAAGGCTTTCTTTCAATCCTGCCACCATGACAAGATCGCTTGGTGAGTACACAAGAGAGAGCCTCATCAGTGGCTGCTCCCACCTCTGCAATGCCACTTCACGGGAGGCTAGGCTGACCCCTTCCCCACTTTCCTTTTGCCAGCATGCAAAGAAGCTTTTATTCAAGCAGGTTTTTAATATAGAATTGTGTCAGGGAGACTTTTAGATAGGGTGTGTGCTCTACTTGTGTTTTTAAACTTTTGTATGTTTTACATAATTTTATACTGCTTTTAGCTAGATTATTTTAACCATTTTAATTTTTTTATTGTAAGGTTTTAAATGATTTTATCTGTGAGCTGACTAGGGTTCCTTTCTGGAAGAAAGGCAACATAGAAATAAATAAATAAATAAATAAATAAACCAATACCCCCCCCCCCATGTATCTTGGAGTTTAAAATAAACCTATTGATAACTGGAATAAAATATTGCAGTTGATGCTGAGAATTGCCTATAATATTAGAGATCAACAGAAACTTTATTTGGATTAAACAAGCAAGCAACAAACAAACAGGGAACTATAGTAAGAAATAGTGCAAACTGTTGGATACATTTGCCCTACCCTGATGAATCCCATTTCTTTTTCTTTTTGTCTTGTCACTTCTTCATAAACTTCACATAGATGTAACACTCCTTGTTTAATAATAACTAATTTTATTTGAAATCTGGTTCAATTTCAGGAAATTTTGTTCACAAGTATAAACAAAATGTAGTTTCCCCTATCATTTTGTGATATAAATGTTGATTTGATGCATGGAGTTGCAGAATCAAACCCAAAGATCAAGTTATACTCTTTAATCAAATTCTACTCCAGGAACCCTACTTCATTTTGCTGTATGTGTAGATCAGTCTTTTGTTCCAAATATTCACAGAAAGCCAATTACTACTTTATTAGTAATTTGTGCCTCTTTAGGGAAGTCCTGCCTCCCATTCTATGAATGAAGTAGACTTAATAATTAAAATAATAACATGTATATATTTCTTTAAAGTGTTCAGAGTACTGAATGCTTATTATCTTGTTGTGATCCTTACAATTCTATAAGGCAAGTCATTATCAATGTTCCCTCTTATTGGTCAAATGAGATGACCGAGGCTGAGAGAGAGAGAGAGTAAAAGGACATGTAGTGAATCCATGGAAAAGAAATGCAATTGGAATTGAGGAATCCTAATTTGTAGCTCAGTAGTCACTACACTACATCAGCTCTCAGCAAAGCAACTTAGTATATTAAACTTAACAACATAAATAAACTAAATAATATATTTGAAAACTAGAGAAAATACAGAAATACCTGGTAATATTTGTTGTTTCCACACTAATTCTGTCTCACTCACATTATCTCAAAACATACAGCAACTATAGAGCCTACTTCTGGAACAAATACATTCTGACAATATATATGTGTATATATATTTGTTTTATATATATGTATGTATGTATGTATGTATGTATGTATCTTATAAATATACTGTATACTCACTTATAGATTTCTGGATAATAATGGCTATCGTAGATATATTAGCAATATCTATATTCAAAAATACAGTTCTAGTTCTCTACAGTTCTAATTCTCTACTCTTACCACTAACAAAAGATAGAATTAAACCTGATCAGTAGAACATATGGGAATACCAAGAGTAGAATGCATCGTTAAATTAAATACTGTATGAAACAGTTGTTTAATTAAAGAAATGTTGGTTGTTCAATCAATCATTTTTAGATGATGCAAGTTTGTGGCAGGACAAGGCACCATCTCAAATCACTCCTTTATATTTAAAGAAAGTGGGATGTCTCTACTAAGACAGCCTCCAAGCCACCAACAACTTTTTAAGTACTTGTATTACAACCATTAAAAAAATTAACCAAGAGTATCTTTTCCATCAAAGAACATATATTTGCTTGGTTAGATCTAATTGAGTAATCAGCTAAATACTGTGGCCCTAGGATAAATATAAGGGAAATAAACTGGAAAAGTATTGCAAATTGAATTTCACAACTATACAAGACTGTGGTGAGATGTTACACAAAATGTATGAGGGATTTTAAAGTGGCAACATTTTAAATTGATGGAATCTTCCCTTAAATTGTTCATCTCTCCAGATAAGAAGATGTAAACATGAAATCATGTTCCCTCACATTTATCACTTCTCCATATTTATAAAGAACCGTTTACATAAAAGGAATGGCATCCAAATGTCAATGCAAGCTATCCACACTTCATTGCCCTTAATGGGAATGTACATTCTGACATGCATTTCCATCTACCTTCCGATGCAACTGGTCTCAGGTACATAACTTTTAAAAGCACAACTCTAGCTGGATCAGGGCTACAAATTTTGGACTGTCTCCACTCTTGGCAGTGGTTCATCTTGCATCTGTCTGGCAGATTCTCACTGGAGTGATTGGACCAGACATACATATATTCATTCAGAAGTCATTCAGAAGTCATAACTGGTTTTCTTCTTTTTTAAAAACAACTTTTTATATTAAGAACCTTACCATAGAACAGGAGTAGATCAAAGAAACCTTTCATCCTAAAACTTCAATACATGGAAAAACCTCACAGAACAGGTTTATTATGTTGTTTGTTTGCCAAACAATTCTTATGGCATTCTTTCAGTTTGCTGGTGAATGCAGTTGTATTGTCATTGCTGCTGCTTTTTTTACTGGTTGTTGGAATACGAAGCACAGCTTTGCTTTCAAGTTCTTGAATTCTTGATTTAGAATTTCTTTCTTGAGAACCACCTGCAATTAAACACACTGTACAAAATCTCAGACCATAAGTACTGAATTATTTACATTCCACCTTCCTTTTATTTCATCACTATCTTTCATGTTTTATATTTCTATCTTACAGCTGCTATAGAGGCATTAGAGTGCCAGGATGGTTTAGTGGTTTGACTGTTGGATTGTGACTCTTGAGGTCAGGGTTCAAATCCCAGCTTGACCATGTAAACCCAACCATGGGCAAGTCACATTTTCTTAGCCTCCAAGGCTGGCAATGGTAAACTCACTCTGAAGAAATGTGCCAAGAAACCCCCCTGATAGGTTTGCCTTAGAGTCACCAATCAGAAACAACTATAAGTCACATAACAACAAGAGCAACAACAGATGCATTATATATGAGCTTGAGCATTTTTAATAAAATGAATTATTGCTCACTTATCATGAATTTGCATTTTCTTAAGGTGCAAAGGAACAATCCACACAAAATTAGTTTCATTGTCACTGCTCAGAGAGAATCAGGAATCATGTGGCCTAGAGGTTCTTCAGCTAGTGAGTCCTTGCACCCTCCCTTCAGTTTCTTTTATAACCAAGAAGAAAAATTTCTTGATCATCTGAGGAATAGCCATCTCAGATTATGTAAAATCATTACGTATATCAGACTTACTGACAAATTTTGAAGGGATTTCCTTATAACTCTCTAACTTTGTGGGGACACAATGGGCTAGTAAGTGACAAAGAGGAGAACAAAGGTAGAATGGAGAGATTTCCTGCATTTTCTGATGACAGATCTGAAGTTGGGACCCTGTATTCCTTGCTGTACTTCAGGAATTTCCTATTCCAGCCAAGCCACTTGTCATATTCTGTCTAATAATAAAGAACTCAGGGGTTTATTTAAGACAGGTTTGCTTCAGTTGCATTGGGGAGCAGAAATCAAGGAAACTCTGCTGCAACAAGTCAGATTTAATCTCAAATTGAATCACTAGCGTACAGCTGCTGGAATTTTAAACTCGAGCCCAACAACTTTATTTGGAATTCATATAAAATCTAAATTGTAACTAATTACCTGCGACTCTATTACCAATCGAAGTTTAATAAAGATTTCATGATATGGTATATGAGACAAATTGCAGATTAGCATCTGTATTCCAAATAATTACAAAACTAAGGGCAGGGGAAGATGCTTATTACAATAAGTGTAAACAAGAAGGGTTATGGTGAATGAGGTTTTGCATAACTTCTGATATTCCACTGGAAAAATAGGCAGAGACTAGTTCAAAAGGAAAGAATTCCAATGCCATTAGAGAACTGACTATGACTCATGCTTATTTCTTATTTCTATGACTCATGCTTATTGACCCTGTTGGTGCTCCTAGACCTCTCAGCGGCTTTCGATACAATAG